TCAATCATAATTACACTTTTACCATCACAAGCAATGAACCTTGAAAAACAGAAACACACAAAACGGATCGAAATCCGCTAATCACAGATCACAAACCATGACCTTTTGAACCCATTTAAGTAAAGTTCTGTTTTCTGAGAGGTCTGCTAAGATGATTGACGGCAGCGAAAAACACAAACGTTAGTTGGCTTTTGAACTTCGGAGTTCACGTGTTTTTGAAAAACACAGTAATGTAGAAAAAAATACCACACTAGATGACTGTTTGTTTTATTGGCATAAACAGCACCAACCATGCACAAACACTGAGTTCTGTATAAATAGAGTGTGAACACATCAGATTTTTCTTTGCACTGTTCCTTTTGAGAGCTTAAAGACAAACAAAGAGTACCAAATAAAAAAGCGTATAAAGAAAGCCCAGGGTTAAGTGGATTTTTCTATCGGGCTATTGAATTCTGTTCATAACTTGCCTGATGAGCAAGTGAAGTGTTTTCGGGGACTTCAAATTACAGAAGAAGTCATTAAGTTATTATGCTACGCCTGTAGCTATACTTTTCCCGAATGACAGGCTGTAAAACTGACTTTCTTTGCACCCTGCTTTATAGTGCCTTATGATGCTTTAATTATTACTGACAAATGTGCATGAAATAAATCATATATGAGAACTGTGGAAATGACATTAAAAAAATGAAAAATGATCGTTGCAGTGGTGATTTATGATTTTCATACATTGTAGTTTAGTTGGTTAGAGTGTCGCACTGATATTGCGAGGTCATGGGTTCAAATTTCATGGAAGTCCTGAATGTTTTTCAGGCTTCTTACACAATTGCATAAATTGTGTTCACAACTGCGAGAATCATTCTTCATTTGTTTTAAATATTACTGTTAATAACCATTCTGTCAAGGTGATTGTAATACATCTATTTATTAGATCTACACTGTGTCACATTGCAAAAAATTATGTCCACAGAGAGAGTTTAGATTGTCTTATAATATTGATTCAAACTTGATTTTTGCTACTTCATATACAGGCTGTACTGGACAAAAGGCAGGCTATGGTTGTTGAAGGAGCCCAGCCCAAGCGCAAACTGGCCAGAGATCTGGAGATTGAGATAGGAGAAGATTACTACATGGATATGCGGGAGCATTGGGATCTGGCAAAAGGTGACGAGAAACATGATATGTTACCAGAGATTTACCTTGGAAAGAATGTGGCTGACTTCATTGATCCAGATATTATGAAGGTGAGGTTTCAACTTGGAGGTGAAGTGTTAAAGTTTCAATTTCTTTATGTGAAAAGTAACAGGTCAAACCAAGAGAAGAGCCCTAAGCACAAAGGAGACTTTGTGTCCTTTTTTGATCCGCCTAATCTGAGATTTGTATATGTTGCTACAATAAATGAATTAATTATTTAATAATTGGTTAGATGTGTTTACAAAAAATCAGTCAATCGATCAATCAATCAATAGACTTGGCAATACAAATGAAGGCCATTTCCTAGTTCCAAAAACTCTCACTTTCAAAATGAGGCTAAATGCAAAACCTTTCTTGTGAAAACGAGTTTTATTTGCATGATAACAAAACTCGTTTTCATATCAATGCCTTTGTGCTTATGGGGCTGCAAAAAACAGTCGGTCATTGGACATTGGCTGACCAAAATTTGCTAGTTTAGTGTCTGATTCTCCATGCGCCTTACCGCTAGGTGGATCTGGGACCTTTTTGTTATCATAAAAGTAAAATATTTGAATTTCTTTCATTACAGAAATTAGAAGAGTTGGAGAAAGAAGAGGAACTGCGCGAGGCTGCAGGGCTTTATGACTCTGAACCAGTAAGAGAGTGTCTTAGAGATTTTTGGATCATTATCATCATTTTGCCCACCTGCCCCTCCCTTAAGCCAACATTTTGCCTCAAGTGAGACGTAAGTGTTAATGTTGGCCTGTAGTAAATCTTGCCAAGATTCCCGTGGTAAATTTTCTTACCAAGATTCCTGCCAAGATTCCCGTGGTAATTCTTACCAAGATTCCCGTGGTAACTCTTTCCAAGATTCTTGCAAAGATACCCATAGTAAAATTCCCAAGATTCATGCCAACATACCCATAGTAAATCTTACCAAGATTCTTGCCAAGATATCCAAAGCAATTCTTACAAAGATTCTTGCCAAGATACCCATAGTAATTCTTACCAAGATTCTTGCCAACATACCCATTGTAATTCCTACCAAAATTTTTGCCAAGATTTCCGTGATAATTCTTGCCAGGATACCCATACTAATTCTTACCAAGATTCTTGCCAAGATACCTATAGTAAATCTTACCAAGATTCTTGCCGAGATACCCATAGTAATTCTTGCCAAGATTCTTGCCAAGATCCCCGCGGTAATTCTTACCAAGATTCTTGCCAAGATTTCTGTAGTAATTCTTATCAACATTCTTGCCAGGTTTCCTCTGGTAATTCTTGCCAAGATTCTTGCCAAGATTCCTTTGGTAATTCTTGCCAAGATTCTTGCCAAGATTATCCTAGTGATTCTTACCAAGATTCTTGCCAAGATACCCATAGTAATTCTTACCAAGATTCTTGCCAAGATTTCCGTGATAATTCTTGCCAAGATACCCATACTAATTCTTACCAAGATTCTTGCAAACATACCCATAGTAAATCTTACCAAGATTCTTGTCAAGGTACCTATAGTAAATCTTACCAAGATTCTTTCCAAGATTCCCGTGGTAATTCTTGCCAAGAATCTTGCCAAGATTTGGGTGATAATTCTTTCCAAGATACCCATGCTAATTCTTGCCAATATTCTTGCCAACATACCCATAGTTAATCTTACCAAGATTCTTGCCAAGATAACCATAGTAATTCTTCCCAAGATTCTTGCCAAGATTTCCGTGATAATTCTTGCCAAGATACCCATACTAATTCTTACCAAGATTCTTGCCAAGATACCTGTAGTAAATCTTACCAAGATTCTTGCCGAGATACCCATAGTAATTCTTGCCAAGATTCTTGCCAAGATACCCATACTAATTCTTACCAAGATTCTTGCAAAGATACCCATAATTAATCTTACCAAGATTCTTGCCAAGATAACCATAGTAATTCTTACCAAGATTCTTGCCAAGATACCTATAGTAAATCGTACCAAGATTCTTTCCAAGATTCCCGTGGTAATTCTTGCCAAGATTCCTGTGGTAATTCTTGCCAAGATTCCCATAGTAATTCTTACCAAGATTCTTGCCAAGATACCTATAGTAAATCGTACCAAGATTCTTTCCAAGATTCCCGTGGTAATTCTTGCCAAGATTCCTGTGGTAATTCTTGCCAAGATTCCCGTAGTAATTCTTACCAAGATTCTTGCCAAGATACCCATGGTAAATCTTTCCAAGATTCTTACCAAGCTACCGATAGTAAATCTTACCAAGATTCTAGCCAAGATACCCATACTAATTCTTACCAAGATTCTTGCCAAGATACCTATAGTAAATCTTACCAAGATTCTTTCCAAGATTCCCGTGGTAATTCTTGCCACGAATCTTGCCAACATACCCATAGTAAATGTTACCAAGATTCTTGCAAAGATACCCATAATTAATCTTACCAAGATTCTTGCCAAGATAACCATAGTAATTCTTACCAAGATTCTTGCCAAGATACCTATAGTAAATCGTACCAAGATTCTTTCCAAGATTCCCGTGGTAATTCTTGCCAAGATTCCTGTGGTAATTCTTGCCAAGATTCCCGTAGTAATTCTTACCAAGATTCTTGCCAAGAGACCCATGCTAAATCTTACCAAGATTCTTACCAAGCTTATTGCTACCGATAGTAAATCTTACCAAGATTTTTGCCAAGATTCCGGTTGTAATTCTTGCCAAGATTCTTCCCAAGATACCCATTGTACTTCTTACCAGAATTCTTGCCAAGATTCCCGTGGTAACATACCCATAGTAATTCTTACCAAGATTCTTGCCAAGATACCTTTAGTAAATCATAGCAAGATTCTTGCCGAGATACCCATAGTAATTCTTACCAAGATTCTTGCCAAGATTCCTGTGGTAATTCTTGGCAAGATTCTTGCCAAGATTGCCGTAGTAATTCTTATCACGATTCTTGCCAACATACCCATAGTAAATGTTACCAAGATTCTTCCTAAGATACCTTTAGTAAATCTTACTATGATTCTTGCCGAGATACCCATAGTAATTCTAGCCTAGATTCTTTCCAAAATTCCTGTGGCAATTCTTGCCGAGATTCTTGCCAAGATCCCGCGGTAATTCTTACCAAGATTCGTGCCAAGATTCCTGTAGTAATTCCTACCAAGATTCTTGCCTCGATTCCTGTGATAATTCTTGCCAAGATTCCCATAGTAATTCTTAGCAAGATTCCCGTCATAAATCTTGCCAAGATTCTTGCCAAGATACCCATAGTAATTCTTACCAAGATTCTTACCAAGGTAACCATAGTAAATCTTGCCAAGATACCTATAGTAATTCTTACTGCGATTCTTGTCAAGATACCTATAGTAAATCTGACCAAGATTCTTGCCGAGATACCCATAGTAATTCTTACCAAGATTCTTGCCAAGATACCTATAGTAAATCTTACCAACATTCTTGCCAAGATACCCATGTTAAATCTTACCAAGATTCTTACCAAGGTACCGATAGTAAATGTTACCAAGATTCTTGCTAAGATTCCTGTTCTAATTCTTGCTAAGATTCTTCCCAAAATACCCATTTTAATTCTTAGCAAGATTCTTGCCAAGATTCCCGTGGTAATTCTTAGCAAGATTCTTGCTAAGATTCCCGTAGTGATTCTTGCCAAGTTTCTTGGCAAGATTACCGTAGTAATTCTTACCAAGATTCTTGCCAAGATTCCCGTGGTAATTCTTACCAAGATTCTTGCTAATATTCCGGTGGTAATTCTTGCCAAGATTGTTGCCACGATTCCCGTAGTAATTCTTGCCAAGAATCCCTGTGGTAATTCTTGCCAAGATTCTAGCCAAGAAACCCATAGTACTTCTCACCAATATTCCTGCCAAGATACCTGTAGTAAATCTTACCAAGATATTTCCCAAGATACCCATAGTGTTTTACTGTATTATTTTGGTGGCCCGAGCATGTGCGGTTTTGAAGTTATAGAGGCTGGTCTTTATAGTCCCCCCCCCCCCCNTGCTAAGATTCTTCCCAAAATACCCATTTTAATTCTTAGCAAGATTCTTGCCAAGATTCCCGTGGTAATTCTTAGCAAGATTCTTGCTAAGATTCCCGTAGTGATTCTTGCCAAGTTTCTTGGCAAGATTACCGTAGTAATTCTTACCAAGATTCTTGCCAAGATTCCCGTGGTAATTCTTACCAAGATTCTTGCTAATATTCCGGTGGTAATTCTTGCCAAGATTGTTGCCACGATTCCCGTAGTAATTCTTGCCAAGAATCCCTGTGGTAATTCTTGCCAAGATTCTAGCCAAGAAACCCATAGTACTTCTCACCAATATTCCTGCCAAGATACCTGTAGTAAATCTTACCAAGATATTTCCCAAGATACCCATAGTGTTTTACTGTATTATTTTGGTGGCCCGAGCATGTGCGGTTTTGAAGTTATAGAGGCTGGTCTTTATAGTCCCCCCCCCCCCCTCCCCCCGCCGGGTGCAGGAAGCAAAAACAACAGCCCTGTATGCACATGGTTAAATGCTCTCTCGCGTGTCGCCTGACGATCCTCTATCGCGGTTACTGGTCACTTCTTGAATTATTGATTATCGTTTTTGAGGTTTTTTTTTATTGTATTTGTCTCGTTTTACAGGAGGAATTGGACTCTGAAGAAGAGGATATAAGAAATAAAGCTGAACAGTGAGTTATATGTTTAATTATATATTAGCAACTCTCTGAATTTACTTGTCTTGGTTAAAGCTTTCTGAGCGCAATTTTCTCTTTACTTTAGAATCCGCGAAAAGAAAAAGCTTATTGTCAAAGCTCATCGTGAGATGAAACCAAGAAATAACAAAGCAAAACTTTCACGTTCCGTGTTCCTTAAGGTAAGTTAAAACTTTTACAGCAAGGAGCCCAAAAGTATGACCTCTCATTGTTTCGTGCAGATTTAATCCAATCAGAAGCCAGCTGGAAACGGTCCTCCACTTCCGATTGGTTAATATCTGCATGACAGAATGTGAGGTTACACTTTTGGGCTCGTTCACATCGTTTCTGTTTTGTTTCTCAGTGAGGAGTAGTAAGTACTCTAAATTTTAGGACAAAGAAAAAGATAAGTGTCAAATCATAGCATAATGGGACTGCTCTAGAATGATTCTGTGTTTATTCACATCACAACCAGTCTGGTACTAGCGAGCAGTCCGAAGTCTAGCGGTCCAAGCGTTACGCTCCTCCGCGGACGACTTAATGGATGAGTATAAGGCCGTCGCCGATAAGGCGATAGTTTTACTATCAGTTCGCAGGAGAAACTAATGGACACTTACAAGTGGAGTTATAGTGCAGGTTAACAATCGCAATCACTCTGGCCAATCACGAGACCCACTGAGAGATAAGTGCTTGATCCGCTTAAAGAGAGCGTGCTGGCGGAAATCCTAGGAGAAATGTTTTAAATAAAATATTATCCTCTCATTTATGACCCCACGTGGCGTAGTGGTAAAAATATTTCCCGGCACGTAGGAGGTGCTGAGTTCCGGGCGAAAAGCCTTTTTTTTTTTCTCTTCCTTCTTTTCTTCTTTTCTTTTTTTTCTTTTCGTTTAGTATTTTTAGTTATTGTAGTTTTGTTTTGTTTCTTTATATAGCGTTAGTTTTTTTACATTTATATATTTTTTCCCTATTGCCTTATTTCCCTTTCATCCTACTTCTAGCCGTTCCCCCGAAGTGCTCCGCGAGGTCTTGCGATTCACGTATTTCTAGTTATTGATTTAAATGTAATTGGTTAAAACAAGTGGTGCGAACTTTTTCAGGCAATCACAGAGCAAAGCAATGTAAAGCCAAGGATTGAAAACTTTTTATCCGGACCACGTGTGGTTTCGTTGTTTAATCTTTTAATATTTTTTGCACATAGGCCCAAGCCGCTCGCAGCCGAAAAAAGAGTGATACTGATTTTGGTGAGGCAATGGAAGGCATTGAAGAGGTAGGCAGTATTTTTATCATGCGCACCTATTACCATTGTTTATTTCATGTGTAACACTGGACGTGTACCGATCCGTATTTGCAGGGAGATGAGACTGTAACAAGATCCCGTTCCCAGACCCCAATGAGTCGGAAAAGAAAGAGAGCGGCTAGCAGTGGAGCGCGCAGCTTATCGCGGCCACCTCGTGACCAGTCAGGAATCGGATCCCCAGAGGTAAAAAACAAAACAACAGCGGTAGAATACATAAGCACTGTGAAATGCCCTTCTTTTTAATGCATGCACGCACATTTACATGGTGTGAGTCAGCCAGGATCGAGCCCAGCTTGTGTAGTCTGCAAAGACGTCTTTGTTTCCATAAAAGTGTGATCAGCTTTGAGGCTTTTAATCAAAGACTTAAAACACCAACAACGTGCCTATTTTATGCAGTTTTATTGGTCATTACCCAAATAATGAAAAGTTTTCCTTAACAGACTCCAAAGTTTAATCTTAGAACCACCGTATAAGGATTTCCTACACAGACTCAAAAGTTCAAATTAGCCTGTACATCATAAACAGGTAAACAGTATCAAAGAAAGTATCCCAGTGACTTAGGAATTTACTCAAACTCATTATTGTCCATGTAATTGGTTAAATGGCGAAAGCCGCAGCGATCTTGTGCAGCTGAGAAAGGTATTAGAGACCGTTAGATTCGAGGACGAAAGCGACTACTAGTACGAGATTTGATTTTTTTGCGTGTTACTTAAAAAAATAGACATCCCTGAAAACTTCATTCTATTCTATTTTTTCACCAGAAACATTAGCACTGTTATCATTATTGAAAGAGGTTAAGGTGGCTCGATACAGTTTTTCAAGGCCAATACCTCCCAAGTTTGAGCATAAACTACGTCGCCATAAACAAAGTTTTGGAAAAATTGCCAGTTGTATTAGATAAAGCTGAAAATCTTTTATGATCAGGTTTGCAATGACATCGGAGTTGTCATAGCAACGAAATGACGCTATTACCTATTTCACTTACAGAAGTATTTCTTGGCACTGGGAACTGTTCTTCCAAAATCACTCACGGGAGCTTTTTCCTCCAATAGTGGCCTCGATGTTCGTGAAGTTTAAGCGAAATCTGTAAGAGCGTTATCAAGATATTTTGGGATAAAGATTTTATGGTTAGAAATACGGTAAAAAATGGATAATCTTGATGTTCGGCTGTTATCTGTAGAAAATGAAGCGCTTTTTACATGCAATTTCACCTCATAGTGGTTTCAATCTTATTAAAAACGTGTGTGAAACACCGTGGAGATATCTCCAGCCGATTGTTAGAAAGAAGGATTTGATTGGTATGTTTCGAGGCGCTTTTGTCAGCGGTTTTTGAACATTTTGGTCTACTTTAACAAATTAGCGAATAATTTTTTAACCGCTCGATAGATTTTTTAAAAAAATTAATATTCTTGAGATAAACCTTCCTTTTATATGCCCCTTTAGTTTCAAGATAATTGATAGATTGTAAGGCAGTAAAATAAGGGCTAAAATTCGCCAATATTTTGGCAGAAATTTTGTGTTTACAAATGTGAGCCTCTCATTATTCAGGGTATTGTCTCCAAGGTTCATATTTTCGCGCATAACAATAGCTAGCATTTTTGCATATGTCAAATGCATTGTTAGTTACTGTTGTTCACGTGAAAATGAAACTTGGAGACAATGCCTTGAATAATGAGAGGTTTTCACTTGTAATAACGAAACTTCCGATAAAAAAGTAACGAATTGTAGCCCTTATTTTACTGCCTTACAATGTATCAATAATCTTGAAACTAAAAGGTCATATAAAAGAAAGGTTAATCTCAAGAATCTTAAATCTTAAAAAAAATCTATCGAGCGGTTTAAAAATTATTCGCTAATTTGTTAAAGAAGACCAAAATATTTACAAAACCGCTAACAAGAGCGCTTCGATACATACTAATAAAACCCTTCTTTCTAGCAATCGGCTGGAGCTATCTACATGATCTTTCACACACGTTTTTAAAAAGATTGAAACTACTATGAGGTTAAATTGCATGTAAAAAGCGCTTCATTTTCTACAGATAACGGCCAAACAACAATATTGTCCATTTTTTACTGTGTTTCTAACCATATAAACTTCATCCCAAAATATCTCGATAACGCTCTTACAGATTTCGCTTAAACTTTACGAACGTCGAGGCCGCTATTGGAGGAAAACGCTCCCGTGAACGATTTTGGAAGAACAGTTCTCAGTGCTGAGATATACTGCTGCAAGTAAAATAGGTAATAGCGTCATTTCGTTGCTATGACAACTCCGATGCCGTTGCAACCCTGATCATAACAAATTTTCATCTTTATCTAATACAATTGTGGTGGCAATTTTTCCAAAACTTTGTTTATGGCGACGTAGTTTATGCTCAAACTTGGGAGGTATTGGCCTTGAAAAACTGTATCGAGCCACCTTAAGCCCTCTCCCGATCGAGAAATGATAAATCTTCTTACATTTAATAAGTTTTATCATTCATTCAAAATATTTCCCCGATTCTGATTGGCTAAAAGCACACGCATAATTCACCGTAACCAGCTACTGATGACCAAATTTGGAAGAATTTTGCGATTAATGAACCGATGACGTCAAAACTGCAGCTTCCTTGCAGGTTAATGCTCCATTAACCGAGAAGACCTGGGGACGAAGTTGTGTTGTTTTGGCTGTGTAAACAAAAATGTGGGCATTTCACTCGTTTCAAGAGTAAGAACTAGGCGAAATAATAGCTAAAACCATGGCAAGAACAGCAAGAAGACAACTCGAAGGGCGAAATCTGCTATTTGGAGAATATTTGCGGAGCTAAACAACGCTAAACGTGCACTATCGAAGATGAACTTG